TGCGTGCCAGCCCGCACCCTCAGGAGGTCGCCTGTCTTCCCACTATATCCAATTTCCCCTTTTCAACGTTCGTTCTTATCGTGAATTCCTCCTTCAGTCGAGTTCTTTACAAATATGTACAGGGGAGGCCAAAAAAAGTCACTTTGCCTATGGCGCATATCATCAAACTTTTCGTCGCAAAGGATGCCGCTGTTATTGGGAGTTATACGGCGAATATTCCTTAGATGTCCCCCCATAAGCAGAATCAGGCCCACCTTCGCTGCCTTCACCGTCTCCAGAATATGACGTCATCTGTCATCACCGTCGAGCTCAAGGAGGCCTACCATAATCGCTCCATTCTGAAGCTGCTACATAATTTCTTCAATCGGATAACTGGTGAATGACTTCTTAGAGACACTAGCTCTGACTATGCAAAATGGCTTTTGACCAGCGTTTCAGAGACGTCGTCGTCCTATGGTTTCTCGACGACTATGGTTTTTACGAAACATCGTTTGCGGACGACCTCGTTGAGCTCGTACCGCGAACCATGTTTCCGTGGGAAAATCTTCTGATGTCGTCGGTTGTAGAAAGCCCCTATGATTTTTTGATAGAATAGAATGTGCTCTTCAATATGCAATTGAGCTCATTCGGTTTGGTTTGGCAAAGTGTAATTAATTCTGTTTTGAATGTGAATGAAGTGACTCTTTTTTGCCCCCCCCCCCTGTATGTATGTATGTATGCTACAGCGAATTTTTACAGCATGATCAAGACCTCGCTATTTCAGGATTACGTGAATGTGCTGAAAATTCATTTGCCTTTAGCGGCACTTTTCGCGATTACCTGAGTGGTTCTATTCTGTCACCAAGTGAGGCAGGCAGTTATTGAGCAAACAGGTTATGCCATTTCTACGACTCTTAGAGCGCATGGCAAGGGCTCAAGTCCGCAATGCACGCCTTGATATATGTTCCGGCGCTCGATCCCCCGCCTCTTGATTTTCTATATCCTTTTTTGTCACCTCCCCTTTCAAGGGCTTTGGCCGTCCAGTTCATGTAAGACCACCCTCTTCTCAGAGGTGTTCTTGCCAGTTTCACTGCCCAAGCCTTCGCAGGTCGTCAAGCACCTATAGTCTCACAAAGGACTCAACAGCAAGGTCCTGCTCGAACGCGAGCGGACTACATACCATATCCGACTGTCCCCTGAGAATATAGAATAAGACGGCCTTCATCGAGCCTGGGAATTCTGGGTTACAGAAATAGCGGCGAAAAATCAACTAACTTTGTTGTAGTATTCCTGTTCCTGCCATACCCGTCCTTTCGCTCTTTACAAGACTGTACCATGTTTGGTGCTGTCCTAGGCGTCCCAGATGAATCATCAGCGTTAAGCCTCGGTCAAGGCGCTTTTGTCGTTTCAATTTCGGTCACGGTAAGTGCTCCATTCGTCTCGATTACACCTCCTGTTGACAGAGACATGGCGCCTAGGGTCCTAGTGACGCGTTTCGATGTAGAAAGGTGGCGCTACCTTTGCACTTGCGTACCCAGCACTTCTAGCCATGGTAAGGGCTTCTTAGGTGGGTCTGAGCCCGAACTTTGCCTTTAAGGGGCACCCATACCGAGTTCTCCCTGGAAGACCAAGTTCCAGCGCGTGCTGAGCTTTTCATTGCCAAAGTAGCTCCCTTTTGGAACAGCTTGAAACCTGATTTTTTCAGGTGGAAGCGACCTTGTACTTCCCAGAGCCGCCTAGCCGATATTTTCAAGGCGCAGCAATGAATTCCATATTCATAATTAGCACCGTCAGTAACCCTTACAAAAGACTTTGATTAAAAAACTGGTGAAATAGGTGTGACACCAAAACGGCCCCACTGTGGTGTGACAACTTTTCACCAGTTTTCTAATCAAAGTCTTTTTTAACACATTGCAGCCCGCGTGCATCGCCGGGTATGCACGTCGAAACTCCCACATCTGACATTTGTGCATCGCCCGGTATGCACATTGATTTCAAGCTCCCCTTATATCTTTTTTCATTACTTCTGTAACTATAGAAGTTCCACTAGTGCCTTGAATCCACTAAACACATGGCTGCTCTCCATCTTCAATTTCAAGATACTTTTGGAACTTCAATTTGCACAACCAGTGCCTCAGTTTGAACCCTCATAAACTGTTTAACAATAAACTCCAATGGCTACTAATTACTGAATATATTTTCTGATGAGAAGCCGAGCAAAAAATAGTAAGAAGCGAAAGAAAAAAAACGAGAAAAAGAACAAAGAAAGGACAAAAGCAATACGTTGCCAGCCCAATGGGGAGGTTGCAGTTGAGATTGTGTGGGTCCTGTGGCGAAATACATGGGTCTTGTAGCGAGATATATGGGTCCTGTAGAGAAATTCCACAAAATGTCCCGAATGTGAGATTTGTGCATCGCCGGGTATGCACGCAGGTAATGCAGCTATGTCACATGTGACATGCGCCGAAATCAGTGCGGGCGTCAATGTGTTAAGGGTTACTGACGGTCCTAATCATGAATATGGTACTAATTATTCATGCTAACTCCATTTTGCGCGAATTTTGAAACGTCAACTCGAAATGCAAAAATTTGTCACCACGAGGAATCGAACTAGGGACCCCCTTTTCTGGTATTCAGAGGGCCGTTCAGGAAAAAAAAACCATGGTTCTGTGGTTCCCGCATGTGCCCCTATATCATGCAAGAACCGTTTTCGCACGCCCTCAACGAGCTTCCTTGTTGGTTCTTTTCTTGCACTAAAAAACGGTTCACTGACCCCGAGCTTGACTCCTCCTGCAAAAAATTGGATCCCGCTCTTTCATTTTTGCTGATCTTTTTATTGCATTATTACCTTTAGTACACGGTAGTCGGTCTCATATATTTATTTATTTGCACAGTACGTGCGCACAAGAATATTGCTTCAGGACTTCAGGACAGAGGCTTTTTGGCTGATTGAAAATATTCGATACTATTTGTTCGTAACAAGACATGCTTTGTTTAGATTAAAATACCGAAAAATGTTAACTGTATTTGTAATAATATGCTATGAACGTATGAATTAATTAGCCCTGAAGATAACCACGCCGCGACCGCTACACAAGGGCAGAACAACTACAGAAAACCTATGTGCGACAAGTATGTGACCCCTTTCATACTCACCACAGCAGGCAGCCGAGTGAGTATAATAGGCGTCTGATAAAGGCCAGGCACAGAAAAATCGCGCCTGTGCGAAAAATTCAGAAGACTTGTTGAAAGAAAAGAAACAAAGAAAACAGTAAACTAGATTCCTTCTTCTCGAACTCCAGCATGTGCGTTTCTAAGTGTACTTTTCCATGTTTTCGTACAATTGTTTGGTGACATTTCATTTAAAACGGCTTAACGTTTCGATGATTCTCGCCTTTCAAGGCCGACGTTCTAAACCGACTGCCGCCGCATACACAAAGGAGCGCTACTCATTCGTCCATAAAAAAATGCGTCATGGAGGTTTCTGTTCACAGAAACAGAAGCGCAACTTGGGATGGATTCAATCCTCGCCAACGGGTTGGGGACGAAAATCCCTTTGAATTTATTTGTTTTCAACGATATAGTTTCTTCATTTTCAGTACATGTTTACTGTGACCAACATACATACATTAAATGTAGGCCCTTTATCAGGACAATCCCAGTGGGGAACAGAGAAAAATTCAGAGGGTTCCCTCGCCCCACGCCATTGCGGAAGATTGAAGCCGCCCCTGAGGTTCTCGCAGCGGAAGAAGTCTTCTGCCTGCGACGAGCGTAAAAGCCGCTTATGCCTAGCAAACCAATACCCTAAGACTTACCGAGTAAGATTCTGTACAGCATCGACGCAAGCTGCTGCATCTTGGTGAAAAACACCAGCTACCATTCCATTGGTTGCTACTGAAGATACAGAAGGGTTTTTTTCTCATGCATAATCAGCAATAAAAAGGAATGAAAGCACCTTCTCACCTTGAATGGCATTTTTTGACTTGAAAAAATTCAAAACTTGTTCTCGAGGACGACCATACATGCTTCAGCCGAAAGTTCACCTAAAAGGAAGCAATGTTCCCATTCCTTATAAAAGAGGATGCAATGGGGTACTGGGAAAGGCACTGCAAAAGGCGTCTAAGCCAAGGCAGTACTTACGAATTCCGCGAATGCGAAATTGCTGTCCGCATCATGCCGTTCTTCTCACGCTTTAATCTCGAAATGAGCGTTTCCTTAATACTGACGCGATGTCACGTACGGCTCCCCTCCACCGACACACTCCGCCTTGATAGGAGTACACAAAGAAGCGATCATTGCACATCCGAGTATCGACACAATGCTCGAAAATTATGCTAACATCTCAGAGATGCAATTGAAACATCTCACGGCAAAAGTGCTCCACGGAAAATACGTGCTGCAGTCTGCAGAAAACTTACAGACTGTGCGCTTTCTTCGAAAAGAAGTGACGGCTATTTTTTTTCACTGTGTAGAAACCTTTCTGTAAGGTCTGCTTTGCGGAACACGTGTCCCAGTCCTACATATTTATATTTATTCAATCAGTGATTTTTCACACATACTGGATCTCTATGTAGCTGCTTAGTGGGCCCGTACTTCGAAATATTATTTTGGATAATTTATCAAATGATAAAATAGTTTCAGCGTCTATGGCACAATCATTCACACGCGCAGAGCGCTCTGGTAATATATTTTATCGAGTCACAGGACTAATCCGATCCGGTCAAATGAAATGGTCGGAGCGGCCATTGTGGTGAGACTGTTGCGTCATTCTTATGTCATTCTTCATAATATGATGTTTACCTACAAATGAGTCTCCCTGGTTCACTTTGCGGTTTTTATTTTTGTTTTGTTGTTTGAATTAGCTTACTGTCCATAAAAACAAACATCGTGCATCAAAAATTAGCTTCGGGTTTAGGTACGATGTATATGTCGCACATCAGCCACTAGAACCTCACGACTGGAATGTGAAGCACTCAAAGTACGATGAACCAGTGAGTGAATTTTGCTCTCTTCGGGTTCTTGTTTCTTTCTCTAATCTAAAAGTTCGTCATTTTCGTTTTTTCTCCCTGACGAAAGTGAACTAGAGCAAAATTGGATTGGATTTTTTTAGCGCTCAATTAGAATATTTTTTGAATTCTTGCTTTTCGGAACAAACAGTTCAGCTAGGTATGTATGTATCAAAGCTGTCCTATTTATTTCAGTCGGGTTCTGATTTAATGTCTTTCATTCAAACTTGGCGCAACTTCTGGTTGTTTTACATTTGCTTCCACTTCTATGGCTATCCGACTTTTTCGAAATGCGATTGAAATTTCAAGGTTCGAAAAATCTTCTATGAAGAGGATCTTGTTCGAGCCGCTTTCTACAAAAAATATCGAGGTGGTGTTATGAACCTGGAGAGTCCACGTGAAAGCCTTGCTCAACAGTTCATCAAAGAATACGAGACAGTGAAAAATGAGCTAGCAGGTGAACATTTCATTAATATTTTTTGCTTATTTTTCTACTAGGAGAGTCTGCACATTCTTCTTTGGGTATTCCTCGGGTGCAAAACTATCTCGGTTAAAGCAGTAGTTGTTGCTCTCTCATTTAATGTCTTTTAGGTAAAGAACAAGTTTCTGACGAAGAGCTCTTTCGACGGACAGAAGATCGGTTAAAGGAAGTTGGAATCCAACTGAAATAGGATACATTTAGGAGTATTACGAATAAATGATTTTAAATTTATATTTGAAATCCTTACAAAGCGTCTTCTCCGCTTGTTTACCTGAAATCCTGAAAAATTTCTGCGTTTTTCTTTCATTCATTTCTCGTTTTTAAACAGGTGATCTTCGTATCTAAGAACATCCGTACCAATTGTTCTCCAGCCCGGGGGGGGCGTCCATTCCAACGTCGAAATGAGCAGCTATCCTGCTATGCAAGAAGCGTCGATTTGGCCTTTTCGTAACCTAACAGCTTTCAGTGTGCCTTTAGGTCCGCTCGACCTTTATCGAGTTTTTCAAACAGAAGAAGGCGCACACTTATGTGCACTCATCGTCTGTTATTCCACATGATGATCCTACTCTTCTGTTCGCCAACGCAGGAATGAATCAGGTCAGTTTGAAACCGTAATTTCCACCTCGAAATTATTTATATTTTATTTGGTATTTCAGTATAAAGTTTGTTTGTTTGCGCTGGCAGTGGGGAGGGGAGTGGGGGGCGAAAGCTCTCCCCTTAAAGACGGTCGGACCAATTCGCTTCAAGCAAAAAAAGGAAACTAGAGGTCATTTCTGACTTTCTTACACCCGTCGTTTAAGCATACTCTCCCTACCACTCACTCACGAATAGGCCTGAATATGTTATAAAATGAACTTTTTTGAAGAGACGTTGGAATGTGGAACTAGGAAGCGCTCTTGAGTCCAAGTTTTGTCAACGTAGCTTTTTCTTTGTTTTCATTCGTCCTCATTTTCAGTTCAAACCACTTTTCCTTGGCATCGCTGATCCCAACAGTGATCTGGCTAAATTAAAACGTGCTGTGAACACGCAGAAGTGTATCCGTGCTGGAGGAAAACATAACGATCTGGATGATGTAGGGAAGGATGTCTACCATCACACATTCTTTGAGATGCTTGGAAACTGGTCTTTCGGAGACTATTTCAAGGTGATTACTTCTTTTTCGTTGAATTTATTTCTATTTCCTGATGTTTGGTGAAAGAAGTACACTTTTCATTAGAATGATTGATTGTTCTTAAAGAAAGAGATCATCACCTGGGCTTGGGAGCTTCTGACGGAAGTCTACGGAATCCCAGCTGAAAGGTTGTACGTCTCTTATTTTGGCGGAGACGAGAAGACTGGCATACCGGCAGATGAGGAGGCCAGGAATATATGGCTCAGTCTCGGGTTGGTCGTTAACTGTTCTTCACTAGGCTAAAAACGGATGGAGTCATTCTTGATTTAGATTACCGGACAATCGTGTCTTACCGTTCGGAATGAAGGACAATTTCTGGGAAATGGGCGACGTAGGACCGTGTGGTCCTTGCTCGGAGATTCATTTTGACCGAATCGGAGGTCGCGATGCTTCACACTTGGTCAATGCTGATGACCCGATGGTAGTTGAGATCTGGAATCTGGTATTCATTCAGTTCAATAGGTGCTTTTCTTTACTCGTTATGTCTTTATTTCGCTTTTCTACTTTACAAGTTTCTGATTTTTACGTCAGTTTTGGGGAAAATTTGTTCTTAAGAGAAGAGGGTGGTGATCTGCGTCCTCTTCCTGCCAAGCATATCGATTGTGGTCTTGGATTAGAACGATTGATTGCTGTTATTCAAGAGAAGACGTCCAATTATGACACGGATATGTTCCAGCCTATCTTTAAAGCCATCCAAGAGGTAAGCGCCTTTACTCAGTCTTTTGTGAACGTCAGTGCCTCAACTGATTATAAAATTCCAATGTAATGACGTCGAGTTGGTCATTGCTTCTTTTCTTTAAGATAGATAAGTAAATACGCCTAAAGTACCTCACCTTGATTGAATTTCATTCAGGGAACAGGAACCCGACCTTATACGGGCAAAGTTGGAGCTGATGATGTTGACGGAATTGATATGGCCTATCGTGTTGTGGCCGATCACATTCGAACACTGACAATAGCCCTGTCAGACGGCGGTCGTCCTGACAATACTGGAAGAGGGTATGTTGAAGCAACTCAAGTTGGGAAAGCTTTTAACTCTCGTTTTCCTCTTTAGTTATGTATTGCGCCGCGTTCTTCGACGAGGTGTTCGATATGCTACTGAGAAACTCAATGCTCAGCCTGAGTTCTTCGCTTCCCTAGTTCCAGTTGTTATAGAGATTTTAGTAAGCAGTTTTTCAATATAGCCTGACCGTTTTTTATCAGTCATTTTCATTCATTAAAAACCTGTTCAGGGTGAGACTTTCCCCGAGCTTCGCCGTGATCCTGAAACGGTACGAGATATCATCAACGATGAGGAGAGACAGTTCTTGAAAACGTTGTTGCGTGGTCGTAGGCTGTTCCAACGTGCTGTCGCAGGTCTAGGAACTGATGAGAAAACCTTCCCTGGTCAGCAACCTTTTTGTATTATGCATTTCAAATTTAAGTAAATTGTCTCCAAGAGATAACACATGGTTTGTCTTGACCAAGTCCGTTTTAGGTGACGTAGCCTGGCGTTTATACGACACGTACGGTTTCCCTGCTGATTTGACCCAACTTATGGCAGAGGAGAAAGGGCTAAGTGTAGACCAGAAAGCTTTTGAGGAGTGCAGGAAGAAAGCAGTGGTTAGTTTTCAAGTCATGAACTCCTTAAAAATATTAAAAGGAAGGATTCTGGATTTGCGGATATGATAGCTCACGTATCTCACTATTGCAAGGAATTGATGCACGGATAGATGTAACGCTTCTTGGGACAAAAGGGGGTGTTAGATGAGGCTCTTCCTTCTCATAGAGTTTTGTTCAGGAACTTTCGGCCGCCGGAACTGGGAAATTCCGTGACACACTCGATCTCGACGTCCTGCTTACTGAACTGCAGACCCGCGAGCCCCCAACAACCGACTATTCGTCCCAAGTACCCGTAACAAAGCGACGGCCTCCACGATGGAACTGCTAAATAATAGTATCAATTTTTGCCCCTGATCCTCTGATAAACTACTGCTTACATGAGATTCAGGTTGAGACTTGATATGCCAAAATTCTCGTCCATCTTCTGCACGAAAAACTCGTGATTCCATAGAGCGGTGTGAGGTGCTTTTGGGCTTGATAAACACGAAACTTCCTGCAGAACACAGATTAAATGCCAGATCTACACACACCAGTTTAATCTCTGCAGATGAAGAGTAAACTTACACAAACTAATTTTCGCGCCTCATTTAGTCCTTACCATCCCCGTCGTTCTTTTATGCCTCAACTTCCTTATAGCCAGAACCTTTGATCGCACAACTTGTCAAGTTCGCAGTGCATACGTGTCATTCTCGTCGGTTCACCCAATGAGTTTTGAGAGTAGGAGATACTGTGGAACAAATCTTTGATGGAGTAAGTAGGAAAGTAATTAATGAGTAAGTGGTCTGTCATATTCATCCTTTTTCTTAGGAACGTCGTGCGCTCATTATGAAAAACCACACAGCTACCCATGTGCTGAATCACGCTCTTCGGTGTGTGCTGACCGATTCCGATCAGAAAGGGTCACTGGTAGCACCAGATCGGCTTCGATTTGATTTCACCAACAAACAGGCGATGACAATCAAGCAGGTTAATTTCCGCTCATTTCCGCTTCTCACATTGACTTGAGGTATTGCAATGTTATTATTTCTCTGCTATACAGGTAAAAGAAGCCGAAGAGATTGTGCAGTCGATCGTAAACACACGTGAACCCGTCTATGCCAAAGAGGCCCCGCTACCACAAGCTCGTGAAATTGCCGGACTGAGAGCCATGTTTGATGAGGTACACTTCACAGCTATCAATTCATGTTTGAAATTTAGTCATCGCTTTCTTTAGAATTACCCGGATCCGGTAAGAGTGGTGTGCGTCGGTGTACCCGTAGAAGAACTTCTAGCTAATCCGAAGAGCGGTGCCGGTTTGAAGACTACTGTGGAATTCTGTGGTGGAACGTGAGTGTAGTTGTTAGGCTCTTAGCTTCATGGATACAGTTGAGTAAGTCATATTTGTCTTTGTAGACATCTTCACAATGTCGGACATATTGGTCATATGGTAATTTCATCCGAAGAAGCAATTGCTAAGGGAATCCGTCGTATAGTAGCATTATCGGGACCGGAAGCCGAGAGAGCAATACATCGAGCAGAAAGACTGGCTGCAAGAGCTCAGGTCAGTGGTACTTTCCATTTTGGCTTTTGATTTTTAGATCAAATATCCTTTTTATTTGCAACTTACCTTATCGTTGTCCCGTTCTCTGTTTATCTCATATCGTTGTTAGGTGCTTGGCCATTTTTCCAATGCTGCGGGGATTCCACTCGTTGTTTCCGATTGGTCCAGATTTTTGTGGTTTTCTTCGTCCATTGATGGTTTCTGCCGAGCTCGCCTATAATAATTACTGCTGGCTGATATCTTCTGTAAGCTCTCCACGAGGTTGTTAAGCAGACTTTATTGGCTTACGTTTCGGCGGGGTCGCCTTCTTCAGAGCCGTAACTTAGTCCGGTACTCGAGACCACCCGGAACCAGTAGTGGGACACACAGCAATCCGGACTAAACTTGATTAATAATTACTGCTTTTCCTTGTAGATAGAAAGTATAGCCACTATGAAACACCCATTCGTCTCATTTCAGGCCATATCGGATGAAATTAAAGCAAATGTGAACATAGCGATGGATTCCGAAAAGTTTAAAGCAACGTCGAAGCGAATCCAGGAGCTGATTGATGTAAGAAATTGTTCATCTGAGTTTCTTTTATTCTGTAAAGTTACTGCTTCTTCTATTACTTCGCAGCTTCCCGCTGTCCGCGAATTTTTGAATTTCCAAATTTATGTTTTTGACAAGTAGATACTCAGGGATCTAATATTGGGACAGTTTTCTCCACCTCAGGAATATTCGAACTGAGAAAAAGTTTCTCTATTGGTATCTTCTATTTAGGAAGTCAACGGAGCACAGTTACCGTATTGGCGCAAGGATGAGATCCGGGAACAAGGAAAGGCCGCACAAAGAACACTAGATGGATATAAGAAACAGGCAGACGCGGCCATTGCTGAAAAAGTACGTTCTTTCACTTTTTATTGTGGAATGGCAATACTTAGAGTCAAAAAGGTAAGATATGATTGTTGATTGTTTTGTGGAATTTTACATTACTGGATCCTTTCCGCCCTT